TAGAAGTAGGGTCAGAAGGGACCTTGCAGATCATCAGGTCTGATCCCCTTCCCATAGAGGAGGAGGATCACCTCCTGGGCTCTGCTTGAGATGCATGTGTGAATGCATGACAAGGTACGGTTGGCCCTACTGACCATGACCTCGCATTGTCGGCCCATGTTCATCTTGGAGTTAATAATGACTCCAAGATTTCTTTCTGCTACCATGCTCTCGAGAAGGGAGTTTCCCAGCTTATAAGTGTGCTGGTGGTTCCTACTCCTCAAGTGCAGCACCCTGCACTTGTAAGTATTTGAAACCCATCCTGTTTTCATTAGCCCACCCGTGTAAGCTGTCCAGATCCTGCTGTAATCTGTCCTTCCCTACTAGCATGCCCACCTCACCCCAAATCTTGGTATCATCAGCAAATTTAAACTAGCTGCTTTTCACCCCGGCATCCAAGTCACTAATAAAGAAATTGAACATTGCGGGACCAAGAACCAAGCCCTGGGGAACTCCACTACCCACTTCTGTCCAGGTCAAAAAATACCTGTCTGCCACTACCCTCTGAGTACGACCCTTCAGCCAATTTGCAATCCATCTGACTGTGTAGGCATCAATGCCACAGTCACCTAGTTTTTAATCAGAATGGGGTGGGAGACAGTGTCAAAGGCCTTGCTGAAGTCCAGAAAGACTACATCCACCGTGACACCTGTGTCCAATGCTTTTGTGACCTGATTGTAGAAGGCAATCAGGTTGGTCTGACAGGACCTGCCCCTAATGAAACCATGCTGGTTGCCCTTGAGCATCATCCCTGCTGCTGGCCCATCACAGATGTGCTCCTTGATAATCTCAAAGAGTTTTCCCAGGATTGAAGTAAGACTAATGGGCCAATAGTTGCCCGGGTCCTCCCTCTTCCCTTTTTTAAAGATGGGGATCACGTTGGCTTTCTTCCAGTCATCTGGCACCTGGCCAGAGCACCATGAGTGCTCGTAAAGCCGTGCCAGGGCCCCTGCAATAACCCCTGCCAATTTCCTCAACACCCTGGGGTGGAGAGCATCTGGACCTGCTGCTTTGAACACGTCCAGCCCCTCCAGAAGCTCTCTAACCCAGTCCTCCCCAACCTTAGGCCTGGCAGCATTTCTCCTGAATCCGTCTGGAATCTTGGTCAGGGAGTCCTGGTCCCTGCACAAGAAAATAAAGGCGAAGAATTTGTTAGAGAGGTCTGCTTTCTCCTCTGGTTCAACCACCAGATTGCCAAGCATATCCTGCAGGGGCCCCACATTACCCGGTGCCTTCTTCATTCCCCTAAATATTTAAAAAGGACTTTTTATTATCTTTGATCCTTGATGCTAGCCCTAGCTCAGTATCTGCCTTAGCTTTTGTAACAACCCCCTTACAGACCCAAGTAGTGGAGGCATACTCCTCTTTGGTGATAGCCCCTCCCTTCCACCGGGTGTACTCCTCCTTTTTGGCAATCAGGCATTCACGAATGCCGTTGGTGAGCCAGGGGGGCTTTTGAGCACTATTGTCCCCCTTGCTTCTTGTTGGGATTGTCACCCCTTGGGCTCTGGGTATTGTCTCCTTAAGGAATGACCACTCAGCTTGGGCACTGAGTTCCTCTACTTTGAAGGACCCCAGCGCCTGTCCCACTAACCTCCTCAACTCATTGAAGTTGGCCCTTTTAAAGTCTAGGGCTACTGCCTTGCTGCAGGCCCTTGACACCCTGCACTGGATGGTGAATTCCAGCAAGCCATGATCGCTATCGCCCAGGTGGTCGAGGACCTGGAGCCCTCTTACCAGGTCGTTGCCTGTGGCCAGTACCAGATCCAGCAGGGCATTCCCCCTGGTAGGACTGTGCACCTCCTGGTTTAAGTGGAGGTCCTGTATCTCGGCCAGGAACCTCCGTGAGCTGTCTGACCTGGCTGACTGCTCCTCCCAGCAGATGTCCGGGTAATCTAGATCATCCCTGACAACTACGTCCCTTGCCTTAAGTGCCTCCGCAAGCTGACCCGAGAATTCGCGGTCCAGCTCTTCCCCTTGGTTGGGAGGTCTGTAGTAGACCCCCACCATTAAATACCTTTCCCCATGACCCCCCTGTATCCTGACCCAGAGCACTTCAGCCTGCCCCTCCTCTGACCCCATCCTCCTGGTAGAGGTTGTGTATTGCTCTTTGATGTAGAACACCACACCCCCGCCTTTCCTTCCTGTTCTATCTTGCCTGTAAAGCCTATGGCCCCTAATGTTAACTGACCAGTCGTGGGATGAATCCCACCAGGTTTTTGTGAGCCCTACTATGTCTGGGTTTGAACAGGCTGTTCGGAGGGCTAGTTCCTCCTGCTTATTCCCCATACCACGAGCATTTGTATAGAGTCATTTAAGGCCTTGGATTGCTGCGTGTGCCACCCCCCAATTTTCAAGACTATCTGGATCCCTGTTACGTACCTGGGTACTCCTTGTGTATGTCACCTGTCTTGGTCGTGAGGTGTTCTTAAGTCTTCCTGCGGCCCCATCCCCCGGCGAAGCTAGTTTAAAGCTCACCGCATGAGATCAGCCAACCTGAAAGAGAAGACATGCTTGCCTTTAGGAGAGAGGTGTAGCCCATCCCACCCAAGCAAGTCCCCTGCACAAAAGCATGGGTCGTTATCCAGGAACCTGAGGCCTGCCTGGTGGCACCAGCTCCATAACTGCCAGTTGACCTCGCCAATGCAGGCCTTGTGTCACCATCTGCACCTGCTCACTGGGAGAATAGAGGAGAATACTACCTATGCTCCCATCTCCTTAAGCTTGGCCCCCAGAGCCTCGAAGTCCTTCATGATGTGATCTGGGTTTCCCCTGGCCGTGTCATTTGTTCCCAAATGGATGAGAACCATGGGGTACTGGTCTGCAGGTTGGATGTAGGCCGGGATCCCCTCCATGATGTCCCCAAACCTGAGCCCCAGGCATGAAGCACACCTCACATGCCATGGTGTCGGGACAGCAGATGGGACCCTCCAGTCCCTGTAGGATGGAGTCCCCAATGACGAGCACCTGGTGTTTCTTCCTGCTGGTGTTCATTCTCTGCGCTGTATGCGTTGTGTGGGAAATGGCATCATCCCCGCTGGAGGCATCCCCTTCGTCATTCTCCGTCACGGCTGCCAGGGCCTCATACCTGTTCCCCAGTTGTACCTGGGAAGCCTCCGGCACTCTAGCCTGAGCAGCTCAGATCTGGTGGACACCTTCTGCCACTCTTGTGTTGGACACGTCTCCTGCGGGGGGCTGTACAGTCGATGATTGGGCCTGCAGTGAACAGAAATAGGAGTTGATTTCATCCCCCTCAGCCTGCTCACCTCAGCCTGGAGCTCCCTCACCTGCCCCTCCAGAGCCCTAAGTTGGGCACAGGAGGGACAGGCAAGGGAACCACCAGACCCCACCACCGTCCGCCAGGACCCCACTGAGCCTCCCCCACAAACAGGACAAGGGGCCGCCAACCCTACCATGAGCTCCATCTGGGTGGAGATCTCAGAAGAGCCCAGGGCAGGCAGCAGTGCGAGGACGGGGCCCCTAGCAGTCGCGCCCCACATCTGCACCATGTCCATGGAGCTGAGTCTACTGCTCTCGCTTGTTGGAGGTACCCTTCTGGGCTGCTACCACGCGCCTGCCTTACGTGAATGCCGGCACAAACACATCAGGCAGGTAGCAACCTGCATCATCCAGGTAGCAAATTTATGCCCAAGTCAGCATAAGTCACAATAGTTACTATGCAGTAGAGGTCTGCACATGTAAACACACGCCTGTACTGCACAGTAACTTTTGGTTAACCTAAGTTACTGCACAGTAACTTTGCACATGTAGACGTGCCCATTATGTCACCATATTGTGGTTGTTGAGCTGGCTTCTGGGCTAGCAACCTTCCTTTAACCCAATTGTAGGGTACAGGCATCTTTAAATATAGCAACTTCTGAATGCTAAACTGTGCCTGGCAAGGGAAATACCATGACCATGATGGTGGCAGGGGAAATACCTTGACCAAGGCTAATGCAATTAAAATGGCACTGTGTAGTGGAGGGTTGCACCCTTGTCTGCTTGCAGACAGGACTCCCTATGAGAGTCTCATAGTTAGCTTCCCACTGGCCAGCTTCCAGAGGGAGGATCTTGGCTACATGATGACTTCATGGAAATGGGAAACTCCTCCCTACCTTGCTTCTGCTGCCATATTGCTGAGGGTAAGCCAAACTCAGGGGCATCCAAACCCGCAGCTTCTGGGCTTGGGCCTACATGTAGGATGCCCACCAAAGGATTTAGAAGCATCTGAAGCCCCAGGCAGGGTTGCTGGTACTAACGCCACATTTGGTTCTTGAATGACTCATGAATTTGGAATTGATTTAGCTGATTTGACTTGGAACACAAAAAAAATTCCTTTAAAAAAAACAAAACAAAAAAACTGTGCAACCTTAACATTCTTTCAAGGCATTCTTTGTGCATGATATACATATATGTTCATGAAAATGAACAGTAAGGTTAGATATTATAAATTGTTTTTATTTGAATATTGTAATAAACGTTCTGATTGTGAGTAGCTCTGTCATATTTAGTTTCAGAAAGTACCGCTCAGTTTCTGCTAGCAGAAAAACTAGCAAGTATATCAGTTACAGAGGGTGAAATGCTATCTGCTATGGAAACAACACAACCACACAGACAGCCATTGGTGCTCAACAAGCCCCAAAGACTCGGCATGACAGCATTGTCAATGGAAGAACATAAAATTCTTCAGTCACTTGATCATCTCAATCAGAGGCTGCAGAGTGAGTACAGTATATAGTTTTATGCGTTAAGATATAACAACAACCTACATTCTACGTAATGCCATAATTTAGTTTGAAGTACATATATACATACATGTATAGATACACACATATACAAACATGACATATGTAAGTAGGAAAACATAATATCCCATCGGTTCCCTCATGTTGCTTTTTGCCACTTGCTAGATATTAATAAACAGTGGTCCAGGCCCTCAAATCCTTATTTACAATTTGTTTTGAATGAATGTTGCTCAATTAAAAGGAGTTTTGTATGATTAAAAGTTAGATAAGAAGTCAGTGTTTATTCCTGAATTTTGTATGCCATTATACTCGCATATATTCTCTGGTCCCACCTCCTACAGCAGGATATGTGACATGTCAATAGAATTTTTAAAAGAGGCTCAGATTAGCTGTTACTAAACAAGAAATATATTGAAGCAAAAATTGAGGCATACATTTTAGAGAAATGGGAGAAATGTAAAGGCAAAGGGAAGAGCAATAAAGAGACAGAAGACAGTGGAATTTGAAAAAAGGTTGAAATTAGCACCATGAAAAGAGAATCAAAAGAAGAAGGTGAAGAAGACAGGGAAGTGAGAAGTACAATGCAACAGAGAATATAAAAGGAACACTGAAAAAATAGAACAGTATAAAGATTGCAAACCACATGATTAAAAATCCTGAAGTCATAATATAAATACCATATGGCTAGTGCCAGGTATCCAGGTTGTAGCTGTATTGGTCTACAGGAAAAAGCCATCAGGACTCATAGTAGAGATGATACTTTTATTAGGCCAACAAGATTTTTGCTAGTGTGCATTTTAGAAGTTTGCTTCCCTTGCTTTTCTTAGCTAATTTAGCTCCAGGGTTGGACATAGCAAAGTTAAGTGGTGTATTAGCTTCTTACCTTATGTACTGTACTTCTTAACTTTGGTACATTCTGTTCTATAGTTATCAAGCATTATGGCTTTGGTTCCCCTTTTACCTAAGCTCTACTCAGCAATCATCAGGGAGTCTGTTCTGGGGCTCCCCAATGAGTGCCTCCAACATACCCCTTCCCTTGCCTGTTTTATGCCCCTCAGTAGGAGAAAGGGAAGATGTCTGGTACAGTAGGAGAAAGGTAGGATGGCTGGTCTAGGAGGTGATTCTGTTAGTTTTATATTGGGAAGCATTTCTCCTCTATGAAAGGAATTCTTTTCATGCAGTTTACAGCCAGAGTCCAGCAACTTTGAACTTTAGCTAGGAGCATCCTTCTCCAATTGTTGTTTCCAAGTGTTCATAGCTCCAAATGATATTACCCTATGTAGAATATAAAGGATGCGGTAATTCTTTCTGGACATGACAAAAACAAGGTTTACTTTTTTGAAGTCCATATTTAAAATATAACAACTTTCTAGCCAGGTGTAGATGACAACAAATATTTGTGACAGAAGTGCCAAATTCTGGTAAAACTTCACCACCTTAATTCATTTTCCTTATTTTATATAAAGCTACTAAACTGTGTCTTTGTGGTGATGCTATTTAAATGTCTTATCCATTCTAAACTGGTTATCTCTGTTGTTATCCCATTCCCCAGTAGCTGGCCTTTTCATTTTGGGATGGATTTATTTGTAGAAAGTTTATTCTTGATCAAATAGTAATTCCAGGTTTTAAAATATGGATCAGGCAAATGTTTCACTATCCCCCAAGGAAAAAAATATTGCTGTTAAACTGTATTTTCCACAAACTTCAGGATGGTTGGTACTGAATACTTGACCATGAGTCATGTTTCTGTTCTAGCATGTATTTTAAATGATTGTTGTGTCATAATTTCATACTATTTTTAGATATCCAGGAATCCATTACCAAAAACCCACCCACTTCAAGGGGTTTTCAGATAATTTCCCCTCTGGTAAGCATTCTATTTCAGTGTAATTTTCTGCACTTTGAACTTACGGCTGATTATACAGTAAAAATGTAATAAATAATGTTGACATCTGTTTGTTCTAGATTTTATTGAGATGCCAAAATCTCAGATAGCACTCTGAGTGTGATGGAGCAAATCAGTGAACTGTTGGGCTTTTCAACAGAGCTGTGCCAGTTTTTACCAGGCTGTCTCTCCCTTTTTGCTTTAATTTCCCTATTGGAATCTGGAGCAGTTGCCACTCGCCCGCAGCCTGAGAAACCCAAAGAACTTCCAAGGAGTGATTACTGTGCCACCTCATTTGAGCTAGATATGGCTCCAGTTAATTGTTTTGCCCCAATAATGTAGGGGGAAAAACAATTTGTTGTGGTCCCAAGGGTAATCAGTGCTACAATGAAATCTTTTTCTAGGTCTGCAGATAGCCTAGGGCAGGGTTCAGCAATGTTTTACAGCTGGGGACTGCTTTAACAGAGCTTAGTTCCAAGCCTGAGCTGCTTCTAATCCAGCCTTCACCACTGCCGCTGGAGGCAGAGCAACAATCACCTCACACCCCTGCCACCATGGCCACTACTTTACCCCAACCATCCAGGCAAAGCCCTCACTGCAGAAACACCACAAAAGGCCCCCAGCTCTGGGGGCCGGATAAAATGGCTCTGCAGGCTGGAGACAGTGCCCAGACTGTAAATCTCTGATCCCTCACCCAGGAAGTCAGGCTTTTGACCATAGTTTCATAGTTTCATAGATCTAGGGTCGGAAGGGACCTAGTAGATCTTCTAGCCCGACCCCCCGCCAGGGCGGGAGAACAACAAAACCCCAAAACAAGAAACGGGACTCAAATGAGTCCAGCCAGGTAGGCATCCAGCCTCTTCTTAAAGACCCCCAGGGTAGGGGCCAGCACCACTTCCCTTGGAAGTTGGTTCCAGCTCCTAGCCGCCCTAACTGTGAAGTAGTTTTTGCGGATGTCCAATCTATACCTCCTCTCCATCAACTTGTGCCCATTACTCCTTGTTATGCCAGCGGGCGCTAGGGGAAACAGCGTCTCCCCCAAACCCTTCTGGTCCCCCCTAGTGAGTTTATAGACGGTCACCAGGTCCCCCCTCAGCCTTCTCTTGTGGAGGCTGAATAGGTTCAGGTCCCGCAGTCTCTCACTGTAGGGTCTGCCCTGTTGTCCCCGGATCATGCGGGTGGCCCTCCTCTGGACCCTCTCCATGTTGTCCACATCCCTCTTGAAATGGGGCGCACAGAACTGGACACAATACTCCAGCTGTGGCCTGACCAGCGTCGCGTAGAGGGGGAGGATCACCTCCTTGGCTCTACTCGAGATGCACCTGTGGATGCACGACAAGGTCCGGTTAGCCCTGCCAACCATGACCTCGCATTGTCGGCCCATGTTCATCTTGGAGTCAATAATGACTCCAAGATCTCTTTCTGCCTCCGTGCTCTCAAGTAGGGAGTTCCCCATTGTGTAAGTGTGCTGCTGGTTCCTACTGTCCAAGTGCAGCACCCAGTAAGAGGGAGATGTGGATTCTAGCCTCTCTGCAGCTTAAGTGGATTTGAATCTATATCTCTCACTTCCCATGAAATTGCCCTTGAACCAGGCTACAGTCTAAGCAAGGCTGAAGGCATTCCTAACCCTCCTCTTGAAACGAAGCCACAGGGTAGTAAAGAATCGTGAGGACAGAAGGAAAGCAAGCAAAAGGAAGCTATCTCTGTATCCCAGTGAGGAAGACACTCTTCTAGGAAAGAGGATGCCCTTGGCACTTGGTACCTTGAAGGCTCAAGTCCTCCATCAATGCAGTCTCACAGTGTTTCACATAGCTGAAGAAAGATGATTGCTTAGAATTATCAAATGATATTTCTTTGAATTTGCATTATATATTATTAAATATAAAATGTTATATATAATATTGGTGTCTTCTGATTTATTATGGAACATTCAGCATGGTGCATCCTCCCCTTCTGTGGATACTACATTATCTACGCAGAGGCATCCAAGTATGTCAGCTGACCCTCGATTACGATTGCAAAGAAGATACTGACATGGTCTAACAAAAACTGCTTCACTGGATTTAACTTTAATGTGGCCTTACATGTACACATTCTTCATGCTACAAAATCAAGAAAACATACATTTAAACATTAACTCAATTAATGTAAGCTAAATAGTTTACATTACAAACCTTAACTATGCACTTTATTGTAATATATTGTATTTTAAAAGAATGCATATACCTCACCTTTTAATTAATCTGTTACTTAATTCATTGTATCTTTAATTAAAATGAAATGCAAAAGACATTATTTTGTTACTCAGATTAAGATTATGTATAAACTAATTTCCAATTTCCTGGTTTTCCAGATTTTCTAATAAATTATATTATATTTATATAAGGTATGTTGTGGAAAATAATCTAACTATAGTCAATCCATAGAGTTTGTCAGGGGAGTGTTCCACCTTTTATCTTTCCTTTGATGGCCCCATTACAAATTACTGCAGGCTTGTCTGTACCCCTGACCTAATAGTTCTGTCTGTTAGCAACCATATGCAGCTCTAGAAGGTGATCTTATCCTCCAGATTAGCTGCATGTTGCTCTTGTAGGCCCCTGGCACACGTTCATTTAGTGGTGTGATGCAATCTGTTCTCCAATCCCAGCAATTGCACCTCCTGCCATTCCACACATGCATGGCAGGATGTGCAATGTTGGGACCACAGATCAGATCCAAATGGTTCCATTACTACTTGCCAGTGCAGGGAGAACTTAGAAGCCTGGACTCCCCCTGTACAGGCAGTTTGAAAGCCAGGTGCCAACAGCTCAGCTCAACCCAAGCAGTCCCAATTGACTGATTGTCAGTCCCAGCCCCAGGTCTGCACTGGGGCTATTTGAGACTCCCATGCAGTCCCAAGGCTGGAACCAACAATGAGCTAATTGTTGGTCCCAACTCTAGGACCATACTGGGGCCAGTTCAAGACTCCAGTGCAGTCACAGGGCTGGGATCAATAATCAGCTAATTTTGGTCTGAGGCCCTTGACCATGCCAGAGCTGGTTCCAGAACCCAGTTCTAGATTCTGGTGAGATCTTATGGCTTTTGTCCCCAGCCCTGGGACTACACTAGAGCTGGTTCAAGACCATCGGTCCTGGCACTGGGACTGGCAACCATCTGATTGTCAATCACATCAGAACCAGTTCCAGACTTCCCTGCAGTCCCAGGGCTGGACTCAACAGCTGATTGTATGTCCCAACCCAGGAATGCACTGGAGTCTTGAGCCAACTCTGGTTACACTCCCACATGTTCATTTTAAGGTATGATGGAAACTAGCCACAAAAATGTTATTCCTTTTTTTGTGAAATATTTTTGTGCCTGATTTCCTGTTTTGTAGTGCCATTAATTCCTTGAATATGTAGCAGGGTTACCATTTATGGCGCAATTAACAGATTAATTGCATCTTAATTGTCACATAGGCTATGGGCCTCTCAGTTAAGCAGCCTTAAGTGCGTGCATTGTGTCAGCCACTCAGCATGACTCACCACCTTCCCAGCTTTATATCTGTCATCTGCTTCAAATCTATTATGGAAAATGCTGGAGCCTAGCCTCCAGATTTCCTTCAGTCCTCCACTTAAAAGCACCTTCCTTCAGTTGTTCAGGCAAAGAAGTTGACATAGATTAAATATGGCTAATATTAGTCAGCTTCAGAAGACGGACCTAAAAAGCTACTCTTTGGGTGCATCTACACGTCGTCCTGCAGTGACATAGTGATGTGCTATATTCCCATGCAGCATGCTACAGCAATGTTGCGATCATGCAGGTCTACACATGATCACTAGCTACATCATTGTAGCAACGTTGCTACACTGCTACAGCAACATAGTGGCAAAAGCTAATTGTGTGCTGCACACACGATGCAGTAACTGCCCATACTGCACTATGCTTTTGTACTTCCAAAAGGAAGTACAGAAGCATGGCACCATAGGAGCGTTGCCATAAGGTGACGTGTAGGTGCACCCTATTTGTGGAAGGACTTTTAGGGAAGCACTTCTGGGAGCTTCCTTATATGAGGAAAGTAATGGCAATTTCAAAATAAAACCATTTTGTGTGCAATTAATTGGAAACTACACAACAGAGCAGAATACTGATGGCAGCACTGTCAAACGCATCTGTCGTTTACAACTTTATAGAGAGGTCATGTGGTCCAGAAAATGATCATTGCACACAAAATGGTTTTATTTTGAAATTGCCATAACTTTCTCAACCACCCTCAGCAGGAGGGTTAGGGTACGCAGCAGCTTAGGTGTCCAATATCACATCTAACTGTCGCTTCTCAGCCAAAATGCCATTTTTGTTCTCCGGTCCATAGACTTTCTCCCCTGTCCACACAGTCAAGCAGGGAAAAACACTTTGTGCTAAATCAACAAATGATCTTAGGTGTTGTAATACCCTGTATTGCAAAACCTCACCTTTTAGGCACCCTCCCACTGGAGTGGAATCCACAGGCAATTGTAGGCAAATTGACTATAGGCCAAGGTTAATCCAACAAAGATTTCAAAACAAAACTCATAGTTTTAACACCCATAGTTAATCCAGTGTTTCTAATTTAGACTGCTTACAGACTTTAAAAAAAACCCTAGAACTTTACTTTAAGCTTGGTATACCCCTGCGCTGAGCATGGTACATGGTCAGAAGAGGTATCTTGTTAGTTTGAATCAGCTCACCCAGAATCTGTATAGATCACGTGCTTCAGCAGCGCTTTTTGGGGCTTTTATCTAATAGCTGATTGAATCAGCTATTTGATAAAAGCCCCAAAAAGCCCTCCTGAAGTGCCTGATCTATATAGACTCTGGGGAGCCAGATCAAACTAACACCCTTCCTCTTCCAGTAAAGTGCTCTTTTTGGTGGGGAGATTTTCACATCTATTAGCAGCCTAGTGCCCAAGAGCTCTTTAAGAGAACATGTACATGCAGTTTGACCAAACTACATCCTTGAGTCTTTTTCTCATTACTGTAGTACGCTATAACTGTTTCAGTATGTCCTGTTAGCAAGCTGATGTTTTGTTCCTCTTCCATTATTTTTGAAAGGCTGCTAATATCATTTTGATGTACTATTTTCTCTGTTATTTTCATTCCCAAACTATGTATGTAGGATCATAGGAGTGAAGGAACTGCTCAGCCAGTGAGTCCAGTCTTTTGCAAATGCAGGCAACCACATAATATATGGGAAGTCCTAATGCATCACACTTACACATACACCTTTTCCTTATAAGTCTCAACACTCTATACCTTAGGATCTTTAATACAAAAATTATAGAGGTCTTGAAAACTACAGTGTGCCACCAGAAGAAAACAGGAGACACAGAGAGCATATTTACATTGTAAAGTTACCATATTTACTTGAATATAAGATGATCCCCAGTAATTAGATTCCATATATGGAACATTTATACATTTGTTTAAAATTTCCAGGTATAGAATCTACTTATTGGAGATTGGCCTGGGTTTTTGGTTGTAGCCATGCTGATCTAAGGACATAGGCAGGCAAGCTTTTTTGGGTAGATGTGATATCTTTTATTAGACCAACTGAGCAGTTGGAAAAAAGTTCTTGGAAAGCTTTCGGGCACAGGCACCCTTCTTCAGGCCTATGGAGTCTGTGCTGTTCTGAGATCCCCAAGGAATGAAAGAAACTAAAAGTGTGACAGGATGTAAGTGAGAATGTAAATAGGTGGAAATTAGGAAAACAAAGGATAAAGAAGGGAAGGGAGGGGAGAAAACAATGGAGAAATAATTGCAAAGGTAGGTAAGGGAGACTCTACTGTAGTTCATCCAAAATTATTGCATTTTATCTTTTTTGAAACTGCTGCAAATTTTAGCACAGGTGCATAAACACATAAGCAGCACTTCTATATCCACTTTATATATAATACAAACTGGGTGCATCTATACCTACAATTAATATGAAGCTTATTGCTCCTGAGTTTATGGCTTCTGGGTGTACCATTTGAATGTGTGCCTTGGACCATAATACATTAAGCCAGGTCAGAACAGCCCCAGCTGTTGAAGCACTTGGAGGAAGAATGGTGTCCCTGTTTGTGGGCTATTGTAGACCATTAAGGGCTGCAAGCCCTGTTGGGACTAATTTATACAGAGGGAGGTGGCAGAACTACTTTGAGGCCTAGAGGGGAGACTGATAATAGTAATGGCTGAGTGAGTGCCCAGGTCTGTTGCATCCGCCAATTCCTTGGAGCTAACTGAGGGTCAAGCAGCCTTGTAGGCTAATTGAGGCTGCAGGCCCAGTAGAGACTGAGCGCTGAACAGGCCTTATTGGGAGTTGATGTGCTTCAGGAGGCAGGGGGGAGGCAGGGAGACTTTAATTAGAGCAGCTCCAAGAGCCATTCTAATTAAAGCACCCAGAGCATCATGCGTATCAACGTCCCCATGCTGAAAAATGGCAGTGGGGCACTTTAACTAAAGCTTGTTCGATGATCTTTAGTTAAAGTGCCCCCATTTTTCAGCGCGGGGACACTGATACACATAATGCTGGAGTCTGCTGGAGCACAGTAATTATCACATTCCAGCAGACTTGATTAATCAAGTCTGCTCTGATGCGTTGTAATTACAGCACATCAGAGCAGCCTCAGTGTACGTGTATAGGTGCCCATTAAGGCCTTGCTGGACTGGATAACAACAGAAAGTGTAGAGTGAGTTAGTGACCCTGAAGACTCTGAAGTGCTGATTAGATCAGTGGACCTGAGGGACCAGCAAATAGCCGCTTGTGGTAGTTGAGACAGCCTAGTGATATGTATTGTGGAGAGCAACACCTGAGTGTCACTTCAGCAGAATTGAGGGCTGACTTCCAAATTATTAAAAGATAAGATTAAAGGCATGACAGGAAAGACCAGGGAGGTTGAGTGGGGGAACTCAGAAGGGGGCTCAGGGGTGAGAGTGAGCTGTGGCCAGGGGGGCCAGAGGTCTGTAGCCCAAAAGAGGTAAGAAATGGGGCTGGAAGCCCATGGCACAGGAAGGTGTATCACATCAGTGGGAGGCCAAGGAGCTCTGTAACCCAGGAGGGACACGGAGTGCCAGGGCTAGTTAACCTGGTCCTGGATAAGACCTGAAACTCCCCCCTGGGTTGGTGTGGTGGGGCTGCCTGTGGCAGGGTAGCCTCCATGAAATGCCACATGTTGTCACCCCACGGAAAGGCAAGTATGTGGCACCTGAAAGTCTCAGCCACCATCGTCTTGCAGGTCACCCCATGGAGGGTAATGGCTAAGGGACCATACCCTAACAGAAAAGGAAGGGGGAAAGTGGGACTGGAAGGACCCAGAGGCTCAGCAAGAGGCCGGGAAAGAACAGGACCAGAAGAGTCCAGAGGCCCAGTGAGGGGCTGGGAGACAATAGGGC